AACCAAACCGGGTATATTTAGCATGTTAAAACGACATATTTTAGAGGTTTAGTACCTAAGCTTAGGTGGGGCTGTAATGTATATACCCTATCCCCATATATATATATATATATATATATATATATATATGCTTAGGTTATTGTATTCTAATTAATTATTGTGTGTATGTAGGGATGAATGTAGACCAATGATTTTAGTTATTTTAAGTAATGATTTACCTATCTTTAAATTAGGATACACATGTTTAAATTAGGAAACACATGTTTAATTAATGAAAATTTCGGATTTTAAGGGATATTGATTTTTTTAATTTTGAATTCTGATTTTTTTTAATTAATTAATTTTTAATTCTAACATAATTTTTAATTTTACTCGATTTTATTCTTTTAGAATGCAATTCTGTTAGAACGATATTCTATGAAAATGCCAGAATATATTCTGATAGAGTACATATTTTGATTGAAGTAACTTCTTGTAGAAAAACAACATTCTTGAACCTTCAGTTGAAATATAACATGATCCTTATATATTCAAATATTGTAATGCAAATATAGATTCATATATATTGTTACAGAATAATAGTCTAAATAACATCCTTAAATATATAATTATTGAACAAATAGATTTGATTATTAAAATTAATTAGTAGATAACATTAAAAATTTACCTTATTTAATTAATTCTTAAACTATCTTCCCTAAATTAAAGGGATTAATTAAATATTTATTTAATTACTAAAATTAATTAATAGATAACATTAAAAATTTACCTTATTTAGGTTTTGAAATGATTGGCTCACATTGATTCCTAAATTCACACAATAATTAGTTAGAATACTTGAACCTATCTCTCTTTCTCTCTCTCTCTCTCTACATATATATATATATATATATATATATATATATATATATATATATATAGTATTATTTATGTTTTTATTTTTAATAATGCATAGGCAAAAGTTCAGTAGACGAATTAAGGTTTTTTAACAATCAAACATATAGTTTTGGGAAGACTTTTTATATCTTTTTATTATTTTTTTTTGCAAAAAATGGTTTTATTTGTAAACTTGAATGTTATTGTTTGGGTTTGAAGACATTTAGTGATTATAGTGCTTTATATTAATTCTATTAATTTTTGTTTTATTGGTTAATATATAATTATGAGTTATTTTTCATAAAAGTTCAAAACTCTGTAACGGGGAAAAATCCCCGCTTACCCATTGGGGATCCCTGTTACCCATTGGGGATCCCTGTTACTCAAAACTTTTCCGTTCAAATATATATATATATATATATATATATATATATATATATATATATATATATATATATATATATAGACTTAGGTTATTTTGTTTTACTAACTATTGTGTGCCAGAATGCACAGATCTGGATCACCGGATGAATAGAATCAACAGTTATGATCTGAGGGTCTATGATATTACAATAGGATAGCATGTATCATATAATCACACAAATTTCAGCAAAAGGGTATTTTGGTCAATTAACCTATTTTAAAAAAGGAAATTTTCGGATTTTAAAGGATCATTAATTCCCTTATTTTTAAAAAATCTGAACTTTTTAAATTAATTCTAATTAAATTTTAATATTTCTTTTAATAATAACCGATTTTATTCTGTCAGAATGACAAAAAGTCAACAATAAACTAGTAAATATATTTGCGGTTTTATTCTTGCAGAATATTGTTTCATTCAAGATACTTTTTACATTCATTCTAAGAAAATTATGACTAATAATGGTTTAAGGATTACATTTATTTTTAAAGATTAAAACTAAAAATGGTTAAAAAAGAAAAAAAAAACATCAAAATGTAACAAAAACACTAATCCATTCCGAAAGAATATTATTGTTAAGAAACACTTTATACATTCTAGCATAATACATTTTGCAAGAATACACTCTAGTTCTCCATGTTTTTTCTCCTTTTCCACATCAATGACAGTCTCTTCAAAACCTAAATTCATTAAAAAAACATAATCAACTTTCAGATATTAAAAAATTCAGAGCATTCTAAAATAATAAAAACTATAAATTCTGATAGAATGTAGTATACATTAAACAATTGTAATTTATTATAATAACATGCATTACTAGTTATTCTGCTAGAATATACTATCGCTATTCTAATAACATGCATTACTCGTAATTCTGCTAGAATGCATTACCAATTAAACAAATATACTTGTTGTTAACAAAACATTTTTAAATACATTCTGACAGAATGCATTTATATAAATAAATTCTGACAGAATACACACAAATTTTAACTTATATTCTAGTAGAATTTATAACATCTTTTTTTATAAAATAAAAACACAAAAATGAATTTATATAAATAAATTCTGACAGAATACAATCAAGTATACTTGTTGTTAACAAACATTCTCAAAGACATTCTTACAGAATACAAGCAAGTATACTTGTTGTTAACAAACATTCTCAAAGACATTCTGACAGAATACAAACATTACTTATTTAATGGAAACGATATAATGGAGAATGATAGCATATTCTACCAGAATGTTTTTTAATTTTCCTATCTAACAATGTTTTTTTACTTTTCCTATCTTGACAAATAAGAAGATTGAAATCGAATTCTGACAGAATAATAGGCATTCTGAGAGTTTTGACATAATACATACAACATGGCCAGATTCTCTTTCAGGCATTTCCACAAACACATTTTGTGCAACATATATAAATAATAGAGAATCAAAAGCTTAAAGTATAAAAAAAACAAATATCCTCATTGTTCTTCTGATGCGAATTTAAAGGAGTGTACAACTCAACAAAACTTAACATCGATTAAAATAGGTTGCTTCATCAATTAGGGTTTGAGAAAAAGGAGTTACTGTCAATAATTTTTAAGATGTATTTCTTATGAATAAACGTGATTATAACAATGGATTTTACATAAAGATTTTAATTTTAACTAAAATTGATGAGATAATAAGAGGAATCAAATATTATTCGAATTATATCACTAATCTATGAAATTTTTTTTGCCCAGAATTGTAAAATTTACGCTACTGATTACCTGGATTTGCAACTTGTCATTAATTTCTTCAATTACTTCTTCCTCAGCAGCGCTAATTGAGACGGAAGTGCTGGTGAAGGCTTTTAAACTCACTCGTGTCTCGTTTTTTTCTTTTGCCGGCGACTGGTCCTTTAGGGTTGTTCGACGGTGGAGGCATCGACAGACCCATTTTGAGGATGAATGATAACGTAGTGAAATGATGTAGGGATTTAAATGCTATTTAAGAGAAATTGACCCATTATTTTAGGGATTGTAATTTTAGAATATAATTAATTGTACATACATAATGACTAAACTATCCTTTATTATTCAATTAATGATTTTTTTTCCTAAATTCAGATTGGTCAATTCATACACACAATAGTTGTTGGAAACATTTGAACCTATCTATCTCTCTCTCTCTCTCTCTCTCTCTCTATATATATATATATATATATATAGATATATATATATATATATATATATATATTATATATATATATATATATATAATATATATATATATATATATATATATATATAGGCACTAGTAACAAACAATACAACCCTTCTAACCATTGCATCTTTTCCTAAATAACTAACTTCCAGATTTAACTGCCATATTTGACAGTTAACATAACTAAATTAACCACCCATTCAACTGCTTAACATTAATTCACACTAACTATAGTTTATAGAACAAGTCTAGATTATAATTCTAACAGGTTGATGGCCTTACTGATTCTGTTCAACCTAATGCAGATTAACGTTCTTATCATTGTTAGAACACAAGTAAAGGTGTATATGCATTTCTATAGGCTTTGTTTTGATTTTAACATATAGAAGACAAAAGATCAGGTTTTGTATTGATTGATTGATCCAAGTTTTGGACTAGATTTGGGGTTAAGATTTTGCCATTTTGGTTATCATTGTCGCTTCTCTTCGACGTGGTTCACACACAAACCCATGGTTCTACAATGTCACTTCATCTTGGCAATAAACAATGACTGAGTGATAATGAACAGATATTTATGAATCTTGAGGTCTACAAATCACAATATCAGTTAGATGGTTATTGTTGGAGTAATAATGTAATAATAATTAAATGAATGTTATGGCAGGTTAGTTCTGTTATTAAAGCAAATTTGCAATACTTAACAAAAACCGACCTTAGCTCAGTTGGTAGAGCGGAGGACTGTAGTAGGCAATAAGCCAATGGCCATCCTTAGGTCGCTGGTTCGAATCCGGCAGGTCGGAATTTTAAAAGTTTCTTTTTTTGCTTCGATGAACAATGATGGGTTGACATGAGGAGACCATTTCTTGAGCTTTAAGATGAACCACGCCACCACGAAGTCAAAATAGACAGGGGTACAAGCTGCTATTGCATGAGGTACAAGTCTATTGGATTTTTTTTCCCATCATCGGTTTTGAGAGATAGCTAGAGAGAGGGGGTGAGCCGGATATTTTTCCTACAAATGGATTGTCCACATAATTAAATATTTAACCTTTTTATTGACAATAAATAATTAATTTAACATTATTTGAATTTTAGAAAATTCCACATCATTGGTTTTTTATGGCAGATGACGTGGGTGATGAAATGGGAACAACTTCTACCCCGTCATACCACCATTCCATTTAACCTTAAAAATCATTGATATGATGATGACATCATCAATGTGAACACAACTCCACTGATATTGAAAAAAATTATCCATAAGATATGTATTTAATTATTCAGCTTTTGATAATTGGAAATTTCGAAGAAACTCGCATCTCTCTTTAATCTTTATATAGTTCGTGGGGGTGCTCAAACAATGTATATTCTATTTCTATCTCAACATTTAATATCTTATAAGCAAATTAACTAGATCTGGAGGTTTTTGTAAATTAAAAATTTTATTTCATTGAGGTGCTCAAATCACATTCCCTACATTCTATATATCGATAAATTAAAGTCGATGGCATCGTCATCATCAGCTTCTCCTTCCGCTCCTGCTCTTTCTTCAAAGTGGTGGAAGTACGGTGTTTTTCTAAGTTTCAGAGGAGAAGATACTCGTAATACTTTTGTGGGCCATCTCTACTCTGCTCTTGAACAAGAAGGTATCTACACTTACAAAGACGATGAAACACTTCCCCGAGGAGAATCGATCCGCCCATCCCTAATGAAGGCTATCGAAGAATCACAGATATCTGTCATCGTATTTTCAAAAAACTATTGTGATTCGTCGTGGTGTCTGGATGAACTTGCATATATTATGAAATGCAGGGATACGAGAAGCCAGATTGTTATGCCTATATTTTATGATGTGGATCCCTCTGAAGTACGAAAACAAAAACGGAAGTACGCAGAAGCATTTGCTAAACATGAGTTGGAGAACAAAACCAAGGTTGAATCTTGGAGAAAAGCACTTGTGGATGCAAGTAATATTTCTGGATGGGAACCCAAGCACATCGCCAATGGGTATTTTTCTTCTTTGTTTTTGCACCTTTTTATGCGTAAGATATGTGTGCTCTACAACGCATCTATACCTGTACTTTTTAAGCATTGTATACAAATGTTCTAATTATTCTTGATGAAGTTGATGGCCTTGACAAGCAGAGAGGTTTTGACTTCATCACTTATCGGAGTCAAATATAAACCTGTAGAAGATTCGGACATGCTTTCAGAATGTGGTCACTTGTGATATGGGCAAGTTAAAAGATATCCCAAGTCCTAGGATTATGGATAAGCTGAAATTAAGTTAAGATTAAATTTATTGAGTTTTAGTTCTAATTCAGAACTTAAAACCTGACATCAAGCTACAGTGACAAATCCATCGTATAACCATTGCATCTTTCCCAAGGAAATGACTACAAATTACTTGTGACATTGACTTAACAAGTACTACTTGGATGTGAAACATTAAGGGTAGTTAGGACTTTGGACTACTTTTCCTTATCCCATGGAACATGAAAAAAAAATTACTTCTTTTGTCAATGTATGCATATGTTAGTTATTCTTGTATATCCAATGTGTAGGGATGAATTAAAAGGCATCAAACAAATAGTTGGCGAAATTTCACACAAGTTGCACCTAGTAACTTCAAGTGCTGATGAAAACCTGATAGGAATGGAGGCTCGCTTGCAAGGTTTTAGATCAGAGTTACAAGTTTACTCGCACACGATTAGCCTAACGACATTACCAATATAACATTTATTAAAATGTTTGTAATTGTTTCTAAGGTCAAAAATTTTACGTTGAGGTTGTAGTTACTTGAATGGCGTAGTTTTTAATTTTGAGGATGTTAATCGTGCATATATTTCATGGGACCCTGTATTTTATGTATATTTTGTTATTTTTTAGATGTGTTTAAAGTCTTAATTACTTCAATAGAAATAGAAAGTAGAGTCTCCATACCGGTTGTTAAATTTATGGGGTAAGAAATAACACTTTGGAATTATGAGAATCGTGCAATCACTTTCGAATTGAAGTATTTGGGTGGTATTCTCAAATTTTCAATTGGATAAGACGAATATGAGAGAACAAGAACATAGAATGAGAAGTTATGATTTTTGTATGTACCATAAAGATATGACCAAAAACTGGATTATGTATATCTTTGTCTGAAAACTGTCACAACAGTTTCATGTCCTAAAACTGTCCAAACCGCCACAAGACAGTTTGTAACAATAAAAAAACTGTCACAAAATCGGGTTTTCTATAAGGGTCTAGACAAAGTCAAAAATCGGGTCAATTATTCAAAATTTGGATTTATGATGCATTTTTAACATAGCAATATAACCCAAATAAAAAAAATTTCCGAGCTGATCTGTTAGCTCGACCCCAGCTAGTGGTTGTGTCCATTGGACTCCCCCAGAGGCGGCCGCTCCTTGGACCCCGCTCCCAGGGGCATTGCCTCTAGATCCCCATTTGTTCATGGATTTCGTCCCTAAATGACGGTCTACTATGAATTTGGAACAAATTTAAACAATTGTGCACTCTGTATATCCCTTGTTTAGTATTTATCAAGATTATATTCGGTCAACAAATTAATCAATTACACTTAAATATACATTGGTGATACAGATCACCAACACCATTTTTTTTTTTTATGTTTTAACTAGAGCTAACGATAAAAAAAACAATGCATTTTTCGAACATTATATATATATATATATATTTGAAACGGCAAATCCACTTATGTCCACGACGAAACTTGAACCCTCAACCTCAAGGAAACACCAGATACCGCTGGGCTAGAAGCCCTTTGGTATTATTTTATTATATAGTACATTTTTTTGAAACGATTTTATTTTAGTACATTAATTAATCATGGTTAAATTTATATGGTCCAAATATATAAGACTCTTCCCCATCTTTCCCCTCAACCAGTCCACTGCAACCGGCAACCGCCAACTCCCCTGACTCGCTTTTTTACCTCATCTCCTGTCCCCGCTGACCTTTCTTATTCCATCTTAGAAATCATTACGGTTTTTTTCTGCTACAGACCAATAGGGCTCGTCGCAGATGATTCGATGAAGAGTGTGGCAATGGGTGATTGCGTGGTGGAAGCATTAAAAAGACTACATTCTTTTTATAAGCAATATGCAAAAAAATCAAACAACAAAACTAGAAATTGGCATACCTATTCGCCGTCCCCTGCAACCGCGTCAGTTGAAAAGCCCTAATCAACAATCCAACACAAAGGTTCATTGCCTGTCTGATTTAGTTCAACCTAATGCAGCTTAACGTTCTTTATCATTGTTAGAACACAAGTAAAGGTATCGATTTCTCTAGGCTTTGTTTTGATTTGAACATATAGAAAGACAAAAGATCAGGTTTTGTATTGATTAATTGATTGATTCAAGTTTTTGGACTAGATTTGGGGTTAAGATTTTTGTTTCAGTTATCATTGTCAATTCTCCTCGACAATGTCACTTCATCATCCTTTTTTTCATCTTGGCAATTGGCAATGACTGAGTGATAATGAAAAAATAATTATGAATCTTGAGGTCTACAAATCACAATATTGGATGATTGATGTTGGAATATGAATAAACTAGTGTTTTGGCAGATTGGTTATTTGATGTAAGTAAATTTGCATTGATAGACAAAAACCGACCTTAGCTCAGTTGGTAGAGCGGAGGACTGTAGTAGGCAATAAGCCAATAGCCATCCTTAGGTCGCTGGTTCGAATCCGGCAGGTCGGAATTTTGAAATTTCTTTTTTAATTGCCGTTTCAAAAAAATAAAATAAAAAATTGCCTCAAAGAACTTGGATTCTTTTCCCATCATCGGTTTTGACTTTTGTGAGAAAGGTGAGCCGGAAATAATACTTAAATATTTAACCTTTATATTGACAATACATAATTAATTTAACATTCTTTGAATTTAGAAAATTCCACATCCTTGGTTTTTTCTGCATGGCAGATGACGTGAATGATGAAATGGTAACATTATCATTGATTATCTCAATGTGAAACCAACTCAACTAATATTGAAAAAATTAAGTGGTCGAAAAGATATTTATTTTGCTTTTTGTTAATTGGAAATTCCTAAGAAACTCAACATCTCTCTGTCTTTGTATAGTTTGCGGAGCAACTCAGACAACATATATTCTATTTCTATCTCAACATTTAATATTTACATTATTAGAAAACTCTCGAGATTTTTGTAAATTGAAAATTAGGAAAATGACGCAACGGTCCTATAATGTATTTTGACTTTACTCTTTCAGTCACTAAACTTTTTTTCTTGCCTTTTATGGGAACAAAATATTTATTGTCAGGTCGATTTGGTCCATTTGAAAGAATTGAAGGAGTCAGCCGGTAACATCCTTGCCACATCAATTAAAATTTCCACATGTTACGGCTGACTATGTTTAGTTAGGGTTTTTAATGACGTACCGACAACAGTTCTCCCACTCTTTTCGTCTTCATCAAATCTTTATATCGACTATCTTGATTCAACCATGACTATCTACATCGCTGTTGATGTGCATTTTCAAGGAATATTTGAAAGGTACCCCATACGATACAACGATGGTACTACGCAGAGACTAGAGAACATTGATTTCGCACGTATGGACAAGAACTAGTGCTACTATTTTATGGAAAGATTCATAGGAGAAAAATGTGAGAAACTGTACTACTGTCTTCCTGATATCGATTTTCCAAAAGTTTTGAGGTTAATTAGGAATGAACTTGATTATTAGTCGTTTCGTACTCCCACTGTATGTAGACCATTTTGGTACTATTAACGTGCAGGATGTAACATCCAGAAAAGAGGTATAGTTCTCTAACCTTAATCTTTTATGTATTTGTCAAGACTAGTCCTTATTGAGAAAAGGTGGCAATTGAGTACACGGGGAGTACGCATGTGTGCGCGTAGCGTACTCATGTACTTTGCATGAGCGTGGAGGCCACTTAGTACGTTGGGCGTACTAGGCTCAGAATAAAACCCTAATGCCCTTTTGTGCCCCTATTTAAGGAACACGATGGGCTCATTTCCAGCCACTATTTCCATCCTTCAACCTCCCTCAAACCCTAATTTCGTATTCCTAGCTTGTGTGAGTGTTTGTGGCTCATTTGAGTGTTCTTGTGAAGCTTTTGGTGAAGAAGGAGCCTTGAAGGAAGGATTGTTTGTGCTTCTAGCTCTTGGATCTGAATTCTACTTTTGTTGGTGCATCTTCCAGAGGTATCAAGTTCGAAACTTGCTCATTGTTGTGTTAGTTCATGTTTTGGGTCCATTTTTAGGGTTTTATGTCCCAAGTTTGGAGCTTTGTGAGTTTGGTGAACTCCATAGCGTATCTTTTGTCCTTTTAAGTGTATTTGGTTGTCTAGATTCATAAAAATGGGAACTTGATTGTCTAAACCTCTCCATGCATGAGTTATGTGGACTTTTGTGTAGAGAAGGTTAGAGTTTGTGCGTTTGGGACTTGTTCAGCCTTGCTAAGGCTTAAAGTCCACGACTTTATGAAGTAATAGGCCCTATTCAGCTCAGATATGTAGTTGTAGCATTTGTCTTAACGGATTAAGACCAAGTGAAGTGAGGAGTGGAAATCTGAGGAGTACGCCGTGCGTACTCCTAGCTACGCGCAGCGTAGTGCTGAGACCCCGCGATGCATGCATGGTTGGTTGTACGCCCAACGTACTCGCTAGGTGTCGACTTTCGTTGAGCTTTTGGTCAATTTATGGACCTTTGGCCAATGAGGGGGAAAATGGTCTTTTCACCCTCTTGAGATTTTGTAGAGAGACTCGGTCTATCATTTTGAGGTTACTAGTATTAATTATTAATTAGAGTTGAATATGACATAATTAGGCGGAGTCTAGACCGACAGTTTGGGTGCGAGATTGATTGCTTTCCAACGAGAGGTGAGTCGTCTCACTATATTTACCTCTGTGGTAACTTTTGTGTGACCGAAGGGTCTTATTCATGTTATGGATCGGAGGGTATTAGTTGTATTACTAACCATAGGGTTTTATCTATTTATATGTTTTATGCATTCTGTCTTTGTGACTTATGTTGTTATATTATTTTGTGTATCTATTGAGCTATGACCGGAGGGTCCATACAGAGACGTGAGACCGGAGGGTCTTCACCGAGACACAGGACCGGAGGGTCCTTATCGAGGTTTAGCCACGAGGGGCTAATTATTTTTGTATATGGTATTTTGGGGAACCCACTAAGCTTTGTGCTTACAGTGTAGATTAAATGTGTTTCAGGTACATCATAGGATCGCGGGAAGGCACCGACATGATTGTACACACCAGCTTGATGATTAGGGTTTATGTGGATTCTGGGATACTTGACTTTGTTTCATGATATTTGTATTTGACAATTAAATTTTGGCATGGGTTGATGCTATGAACTGTGTTTTGAGAAATTTAAAATTGAAAATTTTGTTTGAAAATTTAAGATGTTGCACAGGAGTGTGTGGATGAAGAAAGAGAGGATGTTGTTGATACTAATTATGAAGAAGTTGTTGATAATGTCCATAATTATGGTGAAACAGATGAGACAGGGCATATAGATGACAATGGCCACCCTCATTTTTTCAAAAAAGATAATGAGGCAGACTGTGAGATGAGTGACAATGTAGGTGCAGTTGAACCTGTTAATGGTGACACGGGGGAGAATGAAGATGATGAGGCTGATGTTGATACTAATTTGCCAAATATATTCAATGAAGAGCAACCCTGGAAGTTGCTAATGGTTATCAACCATGTTTTAAGAAAAATAATAGTAGAAGGTTGTTAGTTAAATGTTGTGATGGAAGTTGTACATTTAGGCTTTGGGGGTCTTGGATGAGTGATAAGTCTTTCCAGATAAAGTCTCTGATAATTGATCATAATTGTTCTAGGAATTTTAAATTTGGGTCAATTGTCACTTACAGATGGATAGGAAGCCATTTCACCCAAGAATTTGTAAACAATTAGATGAGTGTTAGGCTGCTTAGAGAGGAGGTCAAAAACACATTTAGGATTGAAGTGAGTATGAGTCAATGTAAGAGAGCCAAGAAATTTGCTTTTGCTCTAGTTGAAGATACACTTGCAAACAACTATGCCAAGTTATGGTCATATGGTGAGGAGATTAAAAGATCAAATCCATGTTCAACTGTAAAAATATTTGTTTATTCAATGCCTGATGGAAAAAAAACTACTTCAGTAGGATATATATTTGTTTTCATGGAGTGAAACAGGGTTGGAGGGGTAGGTGTAGAAGGATAATTAACCTTGATGGTTGTTTTCTGAAAAGTTACTGTTAGGGTGAGTTACTTTGTGTTGTTGGTAAGGATGTTAACAATGGCATATTCCCAATTGCTTGGGCTGTTGTATGTGTAGAGAACAAAGACAATTGGATATGGTTTATTGATAATCTTACACAATACTTGAACCTACAAGATGGAGGATTTGGGGTTGTACTAATATCTGATCAACATAAGGTATGGTATTTTTTCTTTTGTTAATTTGTTACAATATAAGGACAATATATGGTATATCATTCTAAATTCTTATATCATTGATATTTATTTAGGGATTGATTGAGGCAGTGAAAGAGGTACTTCCAAAAGCAGAACATAGACAGTGTGCAATGCATATATATATATGCTACCATCAGAAAAAAAAATCTTGGAGCACAATTTGAAAATATTTTCTAGAGGGCCAGTAAAGCAACTACTGAAGAACATTTCAATGCAGCCATGAAGGAGATTCAAGAACTAAATCATGATGCTTTTATGCATCTTATGGACAAGGATCCTAGGACATGGTCTTTGGCTTTCTTCAAAGTTCACCAAGCTTGTGAATATGTGGAGAATGGATACTTTGAAAGCTTCAACAATATTATATTGGATGCTAGGAAGAAACCTATTATCAGTATGTTAGAGGATATTCGTATTTATATCATGCAAAGGATGGTAAAGATGCAAGTTAAGGTCAAGGATGAGATCGTTTAAATATATGTCTTGATATCAGGGACAAGTTGAATTTGTTAAAAATGAAGCAAAGGTATGTCCCTAAATTTACTATTGAATGAAATATTTCACAAATTAGAATTAAAGTTAACAATTATTGCTAAATTTAGGTATTGGCAAATTATTTCTTATGGGGTTATGAAGTTTGAAACAAGAAACCTGGATCAGTCTGATGTTGTTGATGTCCAGAAGAGGGAATGTACATGTAGGTTGTGGCAATTGAATGGCTACGGTTTTGTGCACTCATTTGCAACCTTATCCTTCATAAATATTACACATTATCAAGCACATGTGGACAGAATGTACTTTGCAGCATTATACCATAATACTTACAAAGAGCCCATACATGGGATGAATGGCATGAACATGTGGCCATCTACAAACAAAGTCCCTCCTTTGCCCCCAATTAAAAGAAGAATGCCTGGCAGACCTACTATGAAGAGAAAAAGAGATGGTTCAGAAAGGCCTGATAGACACACAATTAATATCAAAGGCTGGGAAATTTGTATGTTGTGGTGTATGTAAACAGAAAGGACACAACAAGACCACTTGTCCTCAAGTTAAAAGGCCTCCTAAGACTAATGGTAGGAAACTAGAAAGTGTGAAACAAACACAAGGGTCAGTGAACATGGAGAGGGATGGTGAAGATGTTGAAATGGGTGACGTTGATAGGGAAGATGTTGAAATGGATGATGTTGGTGGTTAAGATAACATGGTTAATGAGTACGAAGTGCATTTTGGTAAAGTAGAACAACCAAGGCTGAGGAAAAAATCTGAAAGAATCCTTAAATTGAAGTTGGCAAAGAAAATTGAAGGTGAAGGTAACAGTACATCAAAGCCAATGGATTTGGAGTAGTGTGGGTGTAGTTTATTATGGAGGGGTAATTACATAATTCTTTTTCTTTTAATGTAATATATTGTACACAAGGGTGTTTGTGTACTTTGAATTGGTGTTTAAATGTTTATGTACTCTGAATTGGTTTTTAAATGTTTATGTAATTTGTATTGCATTTTAATTGTTATTGTTATATGTTGGTTTAAATACTTTCCAGAATTGCCCCTTAACTTACCAATCAAGAATAACTGCATGTCATAGTTTTGGCCTATGCATGTATTTTTTTTTTGCCCTACCAAATTTGTCAAAGTCGGTAGCTTTCTATCTATATATGTGCTTACTTTATTCGATAAATTGTATATGCAAGTCGTGGGGCCTCATGTCCAAAACAGACCTTTTTCCTTTATACCTTTACAACATGTGAGCATACAAAACAATTTTTTTTCCTATAAGGCATGTGGTCCCAAATATGTATATAGAACAAGTTAAAGCTTTGGATTCTCCAACAGGCGTTGACATATACTAAAATAAAGACACAATATGTATAATGCCATAATAGTCATTTGCAATCATTGGGTGTTTTACATAACATCATTGACAACCAAAAGAGTGGCTTCCATATTTGCCATCAACAAAGAAACACTATCTACCATGCCAAACTCAGATTGCCATAACTATAATACCGGCGTCTACCAAAACACTAACACTTAACAGTTAACACCCAAAATGAAAACCCAAACAAAGCAAAGCAACGACCCTTCATCAAAACTACTTGTATGCTTCCACCACTCCCACAACAACTAGCACTCCAAATACACTTGTAACAACAAGCATCTTCTTCATCTTACCAATTTTAGTCGATGCCCTGACATACGTCGGATGGAGGGAATAAAAATGGTTCCTGAGGTCATCCGTCAAATGGGACATCTCCAAGACACCTGCCCTTACATCGTCGACCTCCCGATTCATGACATCCAACTCTCGGCGCAAACTTTACTGGAGCTCCCGCTGGTCTACATTTACTACCTCCCTGATGAGTGACACCTCAAGATGAAGTTGTAGAAGTGTTATCTGGATGTCTTGTGGCTCGCCTGCAATAGAGCCATTGGCTGGAAAGTGACACCGGTCTTCGAAGGACCAACTGTTGCGAGGCGACGTCACAGAAGGCATTTTCGGCTTAGTTAGGGTACAGTTTGGTTTGCGAATTTAGGGCAACAAAGTTACTGGTAGTGATCGTTTTAGGGCGCCAACATCCTTTTTATAACCACTTCGGGTAATGAAGAGCCGAAACTTGCTCCCTAAGGGTGATACTCTAAACGACGTCGTATGGGCAACTTCAATTGTGTACTAGTTTATGTTGTGTCATGTCCAAAACGACATCGTTTCTTCCACAGTATAATAGAGTTGGCTTAATTTTGTGACATGGCATTTGTGACCGGTAAAAATAAGTGAAAGGGACTAACTGAACATGTCTCAACAAATTTTGTTCCCTTAAAAGTCAAGAAATTTTTTTTAGTGACTTAAAGGTTAAAGTCAAAATACATTATTGGTCTGTTGCGTCATTTTCCCTTAAAAGTTCTCTTGGAAACTTACATCTCTCTCTGTATATATATTTCCTTTCATTGAGGTGCTCAAATCACATCCCCCTTACATTATATCTTGACAAATTAACACATCGATAACATCATCATCATCATCATCATCATCATCATCATCATCTTCTCCTTCCTCCACAGGATTTTCTTCTCAGTCATGTAAATACCATGTTTTTCTTAGCTTTAGAAGAGAAAATACTCGCAATACATTTATGGGCTATCTCTATTCGACTCTTGAACAAGAAAGAATCCACACATACAAAGACGACGAAACACTTCCCCGAGGCGAATCGATCCACCTATCCCTTATGAAGGCTGTCAAAGAATCACAGATAGTCGTCATCGTCTTTTCAAAAAACTATGGTGATTCGTCATGGTGTCTAGATGAATTTGCACATATTATGATACGATAGGCCAAATTGTTATGCCTATATTTTATGACATGGCTCCCACCGAAGTACAAGAACAAAAACGGAAATACGGAGAAGTGTTTGCGAAATACGAGCGGGAGAATAAAACCGAGGTTGAATCATGGAGAAAAGCACTTGTGGATGCAAGTAACATTTCTGAATGGGAACCCAAGCACATTGCCAATGGGTAATTTCTTCTATGTTTAATTTTGTACCTTTTACGCTTAAGATATGAGTGCTCTACAACACATTTATACTTATACCTTTTAAGTTTTTTATACAAATGTTATAATTATTCTTTGATGATGAAGTTGATGACCTTTATAACCTCACTCAGGCTTTGAATACATCACTTGATCAGAGCCGATCTAATATAAACCTGAACCAGATTATGAGATACTTTCAGTAGATGTTAGTGGGCAAGTTAAAAGATATCTCAGGTCATATGTATATGGATAAGCTCAAATTAAGTTATAATGTAATTTATCATGATGTAGTTCTAAATTTTGTACCTCAGTTAAAGCAATAACAATTCTATATAGCATAAACTGTTCCATCTTTCCCAATTGTTACAAACTAGTTTTGATCTTTTATGAGTGTGAATGTGTGATCATATGTTAATTATGCTTGTATATCCAATGTTTAGGCATGAAGCAAAAGACATCAAACAAATTGTATACGAAATTTCACAGAAGTTGCAGCCAATAACTTCAAGTTTAAATGATCAAAACCTAGTCGGAATGGCTGCTCGGTTGCAAGGTTTGAAATTGGAGTTAATAATTGGGTCAGGTGGTGTTCGAATGGTTGGAATATGGGGTGTTGGGGGTGGTGGTAAGATTACTCTTGCTTCTTCTATCTACAATGAAATTTTTACCAAGTTTAACAGCTACTGCTTTGTAGAAAGTATTCGAGAGGAATCAGGCAGGTATGGTTTGGGAAAACTAAAAGACAAAATTCTTTCACAAATGGGAGTAAACAGAGCTGGAGGAGGAAGATCCTTGATAAATTATAGGTTTCTCTATAGAAAGGTCCTGATTGTTCTAGATGATGTCGATCACCCTGATCAACTAAAAGCGTTAGCTGGATCACGTGATTGGTTTGGTGAAGGAAGCTAACTAGAGATGAGCGTATATTAACTGCTCACAAAATAGATGCGATACACAATATTATCTTGTTAAACAATGATGAGGCTATGAAGCTCTTTTACAAGCATGCTCCCCGAGATAACAGAGCTACGGAAGATTATGAGCATCTTGCAAAAGAGGTGGTCTCTTATTCTTGTGGGCTCCCATTAACACTTAAAGTTCTCGGTTCTTTTTTGTGTGACAAGGACATTAATGAGTGGAAGAGTGAATTAGTGAGACTGAAAGAGATCATGGATACTGATATTGTGGAAAAGCTAAAAATCAGCTTTGATGGGCTTAAACCTGTTGAGAAAGATTTGTTCCTGGATATTGCATGTTTTTTTAGGTCGGAATACAAAGATGAGGCAATGAAGATCCTTGATGCCTGTGGTTTTCATCTGGTTGTAGGAGTGAAGGTGTTGATACAAAAGGCTCTTATAACCATTTCAAATGGAAAGTTTGATATGCATGATCTGGTTCAAGAATTGGGACACTACATTGTTAGAGGGGAGCACCCTAACAATCCTGAAAAACATAGTAGAGTTTGGAAGAAGGAATATGTTCTAAATATATGTGCTATGGATGGAATGGTGGTAATGGTTTAGCTAGCTTTGCATGATATGTATGTAGGTATAATTAAAGAAACAATTTTAAATCAACCCTGGCACTGTAACATCCCAAAGTTCAAATAAAATTTTCATTTTTAAATCCATTTCAATCATACGATAATCATATCAAAATAGTCGAGAGTATATCAAAATAACATATTATCAAAGTATAAAAGCCAAAATCACGTGATACGGAAAATCATAGGTGGATGCAGTGCCATCAGGCCGGACCCTTCCCTTTCGAGCTAGAAGTACCTAAAAGATGAACTGAAAACCGTATGCGCAAAGCTTAATGAGTTCCCCCAAAATACCCCATACTATACATATATAACAATCAGACATATCTGGGTATTTTTCAACCCTTTCAGTCTCTTTCAATAGGTACCAGGTATATTTCAACCCTCTTGGTCTCTTTCAACTAGTATTGGGTACATGTAACGCCCGTAGATCCGGGCTAGTTGATTTAGAAACAATAATTGTCGAAAATGACTTTTCGATAGAAGATTATTTATAATGAATAATCTTAACTAAGTTGTAGTATATGTCATAAGGGTTCCGTATATATAAGGAACGCTGAAATCCGAGTTATAACGAAGAAGTTATGGCCCGTCGATAGGGGTGGCAACTCTCGACCCAACCCGTAACCCGACACTGATCCAACCCAAAAATAGACGGGTTTGGGTTGAGATTTTTGACCTGCCAACCCATCAACCCGTTTATTTTATGGGTTGGGTTGCGTTACATGTTTGGGTTCGCGGGTCAACCCGCCAACCCGTATATATATATATATATATATATATATTATATATATATATATATTATATATATATATATATATATATATTACATTTAAAAAATAGATATATTTAATTATTAAGAAATATGATTTCTTTATGTATTCGTAATATTTCGTATCATTGTATTCCTTTCGTATTCGTATGTGGCTAGTCTGCATTTGCAGTGCCCTAGTCAAAAAAGAAAAAAACATATGCTGTCATTTTTAGATACTCATGAGTCACGAACGAAGAACACATCCATTTTGTATCAATGTTTTAAATTTTCAATTTTATTTGGATGTTAATGACTTTATGAATTTATGTTGAAAACCTCTTTTTTGATGTTAATTACTTTAATCGCTTTATAACTTTATCTTGAAAAAAACCTCATTTTTTAAAATGTGTTGCTTATTTATTAAACGGGTTATATGAGTTGTGTTCGACCGACTAACTTGTGAACCCGCGAACCCATATACTTAAATGGGTTATATGGGTTGGGTTGGGTTGAGGTTTCCAACCCACCAACTAGTGACCCACCAACCCGTCAACCCATATGTTATATGAGTTGGGTTGAGTTTATGTTTTCTGACCCGCCAACCCGCCAACCTGTGACCCGCCAACTCGAACCCAACCCAATTGCCATGCCTACCCGTCGAAGTTTCGCGACAAAACCGGCACGACGCTGTGTGACGTAAAAAGTGAGTTTACGATAAATTACTTTTTAGACTTTAGCATTCTAAACAAAAGTCATAGTATATGTTAAACCGAGAGTATGCATAAAAAGAACACCCAAATCTGACTTCGCATGAGGAAGTTATGATTTTTATAAGATTTGGCATAACAGTATGCAGTCCGAAATTCGAATTTTAGATCGACCGATTTTTAGCTGACACAACCTAAACTAGAATCGAAGATCTCGTTAATAGTAGCGTAACGGTAAAAAGACAGACGAAAACGGACGTCACACGAAGAAGTTATGAATTTTTAACGAACTTTTTCCTGTCCCGGCCTGTTAAAAATATAACTTTAAAATAAATTCAAAATTAGCCGGCGGAGTCTAAACGAAAGTTGTAGAGTATGGTCCCACCTACGCGTGGATATAAATAACGTCGAAAACGGAGCACGTATTTAAAAGTTACGGATTTTAAAAGATAATTAGTTTTTGGAGTAACCAACGAGTGACACGTGGCGCAATCTGAGCCACACCTTCTTCCCCACGGCTTTGCACGAGATCGCGACACGGTGGCACATTACACTCAGTGTAATTTTGAGTACACTCAGCATAACCCTTAAAAACCCATTACGCTCAGCGTAATTCTTGAGTACGCTCAGCGTACTCGGTGCTGACAGCCTATAAATAGAGGCGTTTTTCCTCATTTTTCTTCACACCTTTTCTCAACTTCTCTCCCAAACACCCCCAAAGCCTCAAGGCTTTTCTCTAGCCTTTCTTAGGAGTTAGTAGCGAGTCCCGGAGCGCCAGAAGGCCCCGAGAAGAAGAGCTTTCGGCTCAAAAGTTCTTCCCGCGCAGAGCCCGGTTCTTCGCTAAACTCCAATATAAGTGAGTTATGCTTACCCTACTTTAAGTATAGCTTATGTTTAAATTTAGTATTGTTATTAGGACCTTATAATAAATATTTGGGCTATCATTATGATTTATATAAGTGTCGTTATAATATCTTTTTAACCACTCACGGTACGGGGAATCTGGTTTGAAGGGCCGCTTGGGTTGTTGGATTTCAGAAGTGTTTATTGCCAAAATGGTCCTACCCTCCGGTGTTTCATGTCTGGCCCCTGTCTGTATATAGTGGGTGAAAATTAGACTAAACGCTTATATAATAGTAATAATGCTAAGACTATTAATTAGTCTCGGTGAATATTAGACTAAACTCTAGTGATAATAATAATAGGTTTCATCAAAGGAAATTGTTTTTAAGAAATGAAGCGTTGTCCGAGTGAAGAATCACCACCTTATCAAGTGAGTGCATAGTTACTTTCATCTTACACATAGATATGAAGTATTTTATATAAATTACGTGCTATGTGTGCATATTGTTTGTATACTTGCTATCTATGCTGGATGAACGATTTTATACATGTTTTAAATGATTTAAACTGTATATATATTTTATATCTACGAATATGTTGGGTAAAACATGGGTAGATGAATGATGAGAGATGAAAGATGATATGAGTGAACATTGGCAACTATAGACTTAGTGCCTAATAAATAACATCGGCATCTATGGACTTAGTGCCTATTGGATAAACGCTGGTAGCTATGGACTTAGTACCCGTTAGATAAACGTTGGTAGCTATGGACTTAGTACCTATTAGATAAACACTGGTAGCTATGGATTTAGTAACCGATGAATGAACTTTAGCAACTATGGAATTAGTGCTTTACGAACGAGCATTGGCAGCTATGGACTTAATGCCTATCTTATAAACCCTGGAAGCAATGGACTTCGGAATGAACGAATGCAGGATAGGTGACTCTTAGGGTAGACCCTTAAGAGTAAAGAAGATAATGGGGATGAGTTATTGGGTTGATTGTTTGATGTTTAAAGCATAATAATTATATTATTGTGGGTTGAAAACCCTATGTACTCACCAGGTTTCCCAACCTGCCCCACTCAAGTTTATTTGTATCATAGGTGTCGATATGAAGTTACAGTACACTGAGAGATTAAGGAGATATAAATAATTAGTGATAATGAATGTAAGTTCTGTTTATGCTTATGTTTCGGTATTGACGATGACATCCCAAATGTTTTAAAATGAATAAAAATACATTTCTTCGGAAATGCTTTGATAACGTATCTATCATGTTTTACTGGGAACAAATTCCGCAACATTTTTATTAAAAGAGGTACTCTGATTTTATAAAGCATAAACAAAATTGGTCTTTTCTGGACGTGAAAATGGGGATGTCACAGTATATTTCAACCCCTTCGGTCTCTTTCAACCGGTATTGGGCATATTTCAAGCCCTTCGGTATCTTTCAACCGATATCGGGTCTATTTCACCCCTACCACTACCATATATAATCATAGAAAAAGAGTCACAGAGACATCAAGCAAATACAAACATAACAAGCAATTGTCACGAAGACAATCATTATACTATAAACATAATCTAGTGGGTCGATATTGGTGCATTCGACCCACGGATATAGTGAAGAAAACTTACCTCAGACTGAAGATGTCAAATCACACTCGGGATGCTGACTTGCGAAATCCTCTAACTAAATCACAAGTTTAAAACCCTAATTAGAAATTAGGTCAATAATCCAACCTGAGAGTCCAAACCCAAAATCTTGGCTTTATGGGTAAAAGGCTGCTTAATCCTTGCCTTATTGGGCCTACCTTACTAAGGCCCAACTCTAAACTAGCCCAAAAGGCATTCCAAGTCCAACTAAAAAGGACCCTAAGGCGCAACATGGGCCCAAGAACTTCATGATGACCTAAAGCCCATAAATAACTTGATACTACAAATAGGCCTAAGGCCCAAACTCGTTCAAGGAAAAAAGCCCAACTAATCCCGAGCCTAAAACTCTAAAGGCCTACAAATGAGCGTACATGTGATGTACTTGGCTCGTACACTCGACGTACGTTACTGATCCAGAATTGGGGCGTTGGCCCAGTATGCACAGCGTACTCGTGAGTACGCCCGACGTACTGGTCAGACAACCACCCCATCTTGAATTGTCTTAATCCATTAAGCTTTTGTCGTCCAAAATCAGATCCAAGGTCATTAAAGTATATTAAGCCATAAAGTTGCAAACTTTATGCTTTTTTATGACTTAATGAGACTCAAACCATGGATTAAGCCTTCTATATCCCTTAAGTGGTCACCAACTCATGCATGTTGAGTTCTAACCTCCAAGATACAATTTTTATGACTTCATGCACCGTTAAGAGCCCAAAAGGACAGATCAAATGGTCTGGAGTAGTCCATACTCCATGAGACCAAGTTATGGGAGCAAAAGATGCTAAGTTCTTCCCTAAACCTAGATCTAGACTTAGAATGAACAAGTTTCAAAATTTATACCTCCAATGAGCTAGAAATGATGAGCAATCTTTGGATCTACAAGCTTCTTCTTGTCCAATGCTTCTCCTCAAGCCTCTTTATTCTTCAAGATCACAAAAGAACACCTAAAAAATATTTGTAAGCTCAAAAATGCTCTTAAGATGGCTAGGGTCTCGAGATTAGCTCAAAAAG